CTAAATAAGGAAAAAAAGCAGAGAAACTATCCAATCAAAATCTTAAATTTTATATCAAATTACTGTATTGTCACATGGAGATTTACTTGCGTCAAATCCGCCCATATGACTTTATTATTGGTCAAATTTTCATATTACCAAAGAAAAAATTATATTGGTTCGAAATACGGTTTATATTTTTAAATTAAAAAACAAATTTCTTTGGATGACTATAAGAGACGTGAACCATAGATCAACTTAATTAATTTATGCTGATTCGAGTTTGATTAAGTTGACAGGGTCAATTAACCTAAAAACCAATATGACCCGTAACATATATATATATAACAGCTATTTTTTAGAATGGGGCCTATGTACTAAATAAACCGATGCCTATTTTTAAAATAAATTAGATAAAACAAAGTAAAAAACGATAAAACAACGTAATCATATTAATTACCTGGTTAACAGGATATAATGTAACATCTGCAATGTTAACATGGTCTGGTCTAGATGCGACAAATACAATTGTTTCAGCTATTCATAAACAGTTTAATATAAATAAAATATTAGTATGAAATAAATATGTAAATATACAAATAATTGATAATTTATTTTACCAATATCTTCACCAGTCAACGGTGTCTTAAGCCGAAAAGATGTTTAAAAAAAGAAATGAAATCGATTAAATAAGATGCAACAATAGCACAAACCAAGAAAGTATAACTTACTATGCCTTCATAAACTTTGTCGGCCTTTGCTTTATCACCACCAAACCTGATAAAAGAGAATTCGGTTTCTACCATACCTTAAAGTTAAAAAAAAAAAAAAGTTCTATAAGAGATCGTAAGAAAAAGAAAAAGAAAGAAAGAATTAAAGCCAAAATTTTACCAGGATTTATTTCCGAGACCCTAATTGGAGTGTCCACCTTTCATAGCAATTGATAATATACAGTCACATGTATACAGAATACATATAGTACACTTATAAACATATATTTATTATATTAATAGAAAATGATAGGCATGAGACGAATGAAAGTTACCAATTCATGAAGTAATGTCCTCGATAAAGCATTAACAGCGTGTTTTGATGCACAATATACACCACCATTAGCGTAGACTTGTTGTCCTATTAGTCATAATCTACAATAAATATGCCAAACAGTTTAATATAAAGATCGGATAAAAATGTTAGACAGCAAACCTGATATAGAACCAATATTAATTATATGGCCCTTTTGACGTTCCTTCATTCTTGGAAGAACAGCTTGAGTAACGTACAATAATCCTTTAACATTTGTATCAATCATGATATCAATATCATCAGAAGAAACGTTCTCAATCTTGTCCACTCCTTTTACTAGTCCTTTTTTTTTTTTTGTTAAAAAAAAAAAGTAATTAATTGTAGTAAATATAATTAATTTTAAAGATGATAATAAGCCAATAAGGTTACCAGCATTATTAACCAAAACGTCAATATCCTTTAAATCACTAGGTAAACTCGAAACCAATTGATCAACAGTGGATTTATCACGTACGTCCAATTGGCGAGTATAAACTTTTATGTTTGGATGTTCAGATATAATATTTTGTTTTAGTTCATTTAGACGATCGATTCTCCGGGCTGTTAAAATCTGATTCAAGAATGAATAGAGGCGAGAATCGAAACAAGATGATTAATTTTGGAAAGATCATGAGTAGTAAAGGTAAAAATGAATAAAGTGAAGAGTAGGTTTAGATTCAGTATATAAAGTACAATCACCAAATTTGAGCCAACTTTTGCAAATTCTTTGGCGCACGCTTCGCCTATACCAGCAGAAGCACCAGTGCTAGAAATTTATTAAACAAATGAGATCAAAAATCAGATGAACATTCTTTTTTTGTACAAATCATTTCATAAAATTTGAAATTTCTTTATTTTTTGAAAATTGCTTTTTGAAATGTCATTTTGTCTCTTAAATTACATTAAAAAAAATTATAAATATATAATAGAAATAAACAAATACATTAACACATTTTTATCCCTGAGTCTACTCATTGTAGCATTTTTGAAAAGACTTAACGTTTGTCGAAACATAATTGGATTGACATTAAAAAAAAATGAATTTATGGAAAAAATCCATTGGATGCATTTACATGTGATTAATATTACGTAATCAGTATTCGGAATAAACAGGTGGTGGTGATGAAATACGAGAATTATGGCCGTTGGCATTAGGAAGCGAAGAGAATTCCGAAGATTCTTCGTATGGTGGAGAATTTTCTATACTAAGCGTCGTGCTTTCATTATCATGAATAACGATGTGGACATTCTCTGCCTGATGTACCGATACCTGATATGCCTGATATGCAGGGGGTAATCCTATTTCAATTATCAAATACTTTAGAAAATTTAAAGAGTAGAGAATTCGTCAGCATTCAATGGTTAATTCAATAATAAGAGCCGGTATTTTATAATGAGCTACCATTTTAATATTAGGACGTAATTTAAAATATGCATTACTGCTTCGTGGTTCTTCAACTTTGTGCAATCTCCAATTAACGTTACGTTTATTATCTTCTTTATTGAATTCTTGTATTAACATTGATAGAGAATTTAACTATTATAATTTAAAAGTTTAGTTAAAACTTGAATAAATCGCAATATCTTAAAATGGATTACCTACGTACGTGCTTTATTTTTTGATGAATATAGAAATACATGAACGTAATCAAAACCAAAAATATAAATAGCACAATCCCTAATATAATTCGATCTTGATGAATGAAAGGACCTAAAGTTTTCACCGCCACGATACTTAATAATAATGTTGCCATGATGAATATAAAGGGTATTTGTACGATCATTTTGTTTATTGATAATTTGAGAGAGATTGAATTAAATGCTTGAATTTTATCATAAAATTCTTGATATGATAACTATTCAATTATGAATTTAAGAAAATGTAGAGAAAGTAAGAACGAGATAAGTAAGGTATAAAATAAGACAAAAAAACCTACATATCCCTCAAGGTCCTGATTATACTCAACATTTGCAACTTTCAGTTTAGTCAAATGGATTTTTACAACTTCCAGAGTATGCCCATCTGATATTACACAACTTTCCATTATGAAATTCAATGTTTTTGTTCTTTAAGTTTTGATATAGCTAATACGTATTAATAAAATTAATAAAACATATAGAATTTTATAAAGTTGAAGCGAGCAATACGAAAAGAACCCTGAGAATGTTGCTATCGTATTATTTATTTACATAACATACATAAAATGATAAAGATTCTAACCAAATTATCAAAATTTTAAGATTATTGTTTCATCCACTAATAAATGAGCAATACTCTGAAATAAATTCGGAAATAAATAAATTATCTGCCATTTTGCGATCTTCGATGAAAAAGAATATTCCTGTATTCGATGATCGAAATAAATTTATTTAGCATAGCATAAAGCATTTATTTAATATATGAATTTCTTGATATAGTAAAGTTTAAATTTGGAAATCTTGTACGAATACGAATTATATGATATTTGCTAATTAATCGTCATTACAAAAACGACAGATTGTAAATTTTAGAATCGACAATAAATTTTGATACGTGCCGGTACGAACGTACCTATCGCTATCAACTAATTGCTCAGTTATCCAAGTATATTGTCCGAGACAAATTTTAACCCGGATAGAGTTCACTATCTTATAAGATAATAATTTCTTTATATTTGAATTTGTTGATTGTACATACATAAGTACGTAAATACTCGATAATAATTAAATTTTATTGATCTGTAGTATATCACCGACCTTAGGTTCCGACTTCTATCATAAAATCACAATTGTTAGCAATTGCAATTGTCAACTACATACTTTGCAAAATAGAAATAAACAGTTCTTGCGAGTGTAAATAATATGGCACAAAGTCTTGCTCAGGCATGTTATATATTTGTGAAAACAAACATTACATTCAATATTTACGCGTATTAAATGAATAATTCTTGGAACCTTCATTGACAGCTTCATCCAAAACAAAGATGTGATACTGAAGCTGTAACACAGACTCAAAGTTTGACTATCGTAAAACAACTACTAAAGACTAGTTTAAGTTCGATCACTTACTTAAGGTATTTCTTTTAGCCTAATTGTTTTTTTTTTTTTTTTTTTACCACGATATGTCAAACAAATTCCTGTTCATCCTCAGAGGCTTGTTCCCAGAAGATAATTATGAAGATTACCAAGTTGGGAGTATGTGATCTACTAAATTTCTTTCTTTCTTAATTCGTATCACACAATACACAAATTAGTCATATTATTCTTAATTAGGTCTTATTCTAAAACATCTTAAGAGAGATTATAGTCAAGAAGCAAATTCGTTATTGGATTGGCTGGTGAATTCTTAAAGTTTCAAATTTTAAATTTGTTAAAATCTAATATTAAAATTATTCATGTTCAATAATATTCAATATTCAATAATATTCCATATTCATATTCAATAATATTCTCGGTTTAATTTTATACAGGAAGCTGGCATTTTTGATGCCTTAGATCATCAACATCTTCGTGCTATCATCTTTGGTATCTTTCTTGATCCAAAAGAACCAAATAAACTTGTGGAGTGCTACACTTTCAAAGTATCTTATCCTAATGGCGAGCCTTTACTGAGAATCGAAAATAATAATGGTGAATTATTGACAACCGCTGGTGGTGGTCGTGACGTCACAGCTACTGCGCGTGAAGGAATCACTGTTGGTGAAATAAAAAAAACCACCCAACAATTATTAAGAAGGTTAATTCTATTAACTCAGACATTAAAGGTAAATATATTTCTCATTCATTATTTATTCTTATTTCTGAAACATATGATTAATCTCTTTTTCTTCATTTCTAGCCGTTACCAGGTTTGCCTTTGGACTTTTCTTAAAACTTCTTAAAATTTGATAATTAATCTATTTAATTTCCTTAGATAACCGTTATATCGTTATCAAGCTTCACTATTACGAAAACGTAACTCCGGCTGATTATGAGCCTCCATTCTTTCGCGCTAGTAATCTTGCTGAAGAAGGTCTTATATTCAATTCTCGACCTGAAAAAATACCTGTCGGTGAGGTTGACACGGCGTATCACGGGTTCGCTTTTATTGCAAAGTTCTATCATATCATAAATTAAATATAATAACCTATAATATGCTAATCGTTCGTCCCTTAGCATAAATTTATCAATTCAAACGATATCTGATGTCCTTGATATTGAAGATGTCGGAACTGATTCTACTACTGACAAAATGTTGGTTGAATCTAATAATACAATAAAGGATAACGAGAAGTCTTGGAATGCCGAGGATGATTCTGACTCTGAAAATGGTCCAAAAGCAACCAGGATTGATATTCCTCCATTGAATAGAGATCAATATAATGACCGATCCAACAGACGAGAAATGTCTGTAGTATCAAATGTTCCGGCTTTGGCGTCTAGGTCAATGTCTAGAGATAGGCGAGAAATGTCAATAATATCAAATATTCCAGCTTTAACATCTAGAGTAACTAGGTCAATGACCAAAGATATTACTACTAACAATGCTTATGATAGTATGTAGTTTCATTGTTTTGAATATTTGGTTGATCCTCTTAATATACAAATTTGCTTTATTTTTATTATTGTTATTTTATTATTTTTATTATTATGGTTTTTTTTTTTTTTTTTTTTTTAAAAAAAAATAAAATAAAATAAAAACTAATCAGTAAATGACAGCACTAATCGTTCAAATCGAGGTAATCAAAGGTTTTTTTTCCCTGGTTTGAAAAATCGTAATTTATTAACATTTCTTAATTTACAATAGTATCTATGTCGCGTAACAGCGTATCAAAAAATGAAAGTACAACACAACCTATTGACCACCTGCTTTCGAACAATGCGGATCGAAATCGCCGTTCAACATCTGTTGCTTCAAGGTCGTCGCAACTAAGGACTTATTCTACGCAACGGCGCAGCCATTCATCTACTCTCAATCCGCCGCAGGATGTGTTCGATGTACCTGTAAATTCTCAAAATTCTCCTGTAATTATTGAAGATGACGAATCTTCTAATGAAAGTGTGGATAATACACATAACTATAAATGTGATTGCGGTGTAAATACTCGCGACGGTGATATGGTAAGTAAAAGTTGACTAAAATATAATAATAATAATAATAATAAACAGCAATTATTTTTCGCTGCGCGGACTGTGCGCAGCACTCAGAAACAAAATTTTACGCACATTTTCTTTGAACAGATGTACAGATAGGGATTGGAACGTTTAACCGTTTAAAAATTACTCCATAGTTTCGAGCGGAATTATGTTGGTCGTGAGCTGGACTTATTTTAATGCCGGCCAAGTTAAACAGTTAAAACGATTAAGAAAAGTTTTAGGCGGTTCAATCCCTATATGCAGATGCCTCACAGAAAAAGTTTCCAAATTGTGCGGTTGTGCGGTATCCGCACAGTAAATTTTAATTAAAATCTAACCCTGATAATACTTTTTTTATAGATTAATTGCACTAAATGTGATACATGGGGTCATGTTCCTTGTTACGGGTACAAATCTCTTGATGATTCTCGCATGTCAAAATATCATATCTGCTATCGATGCTTGCGAGATGAAAATAATAATCTTTGGGAATTAGATGCTCTTATAGACTTAGCTTTGTTTCGACGTTCTTTATGGATTATTTGGAAAGAAGGAATTCCTTCAACATGTCGACAATTTGCTCAACGATTGGGTAAGGTTGTTATAATAATTGCATTATATTTAAGAATGAAATTAATTGTTTGTATTTGAGTAGGCGTAAAATTGTCTTGTGCACGTCAGCTTCAGACCCGCCTGAAAACTGAAGGATTTATTGCCCCTCCTCCAAAGCCTTCTAAAAGGAAGGGCAAAGCTGTTGTTGGAAGTAACACTTCTAATTCAAACATTCCATTTGAAGTAATAAAAACCGAAGAGAACGCACGCAAAATGGATGATTACTTTAACCCAGATATTGGAGTGATGCCTGTTCGTATTCTTGTTAAATCAATATTAGATAAATCTTTGATTTAAATTCACACTTAACGAAATTAACTAACAGTCTTTTTTTTTTTTTTTTTGTTTAAAAAAATAGCAAACCAATGTACTTGAGGACACAATGTCTCATATGTCTCATGATGAATCTGAGAAATCTGATGGTGGACATAGGAAGCATAAGTTACATGATGGAAATTCTGCAGATGCAGATGCAGATGATGATGAGGCTCAAGGTCTCAAGAAAAAGAAAAGTTTCTATTAGTATCGGACATATTGCTGTATTATAATGTATTTATTTCATATTTGCTTTAATAATAGCTTTAAAGGCGTCATAAAATATTGTTAAAATTCCAAATAAAAAATTTTTATTATTATATTGTGGGCAACTGGATATTAATACTTATTACTATTATTTTTTTATATCCAGATAATTATATTAGAATTTGTTAGTAATAAAGCAGTATATATTAGTGTTGGCAATTGGCCAATTTTGGACATGTTTTGAGCAATTTTTCATATATCTAAAACCCTGTTTAAAACTATTAAAATTGTTAAAAAATATCCAAAAGCCATGTTGATAATGCTATATTGGTAGCAATTTCATTTACAATAAATAGTAAATTAACCAATCAGCATTTATAACATAATAACAATTTGAATTCTAATTGGTTAAAAAGTTTTTGTGACTGAGTTCAAAAACTTAGTCCTAGACTAACTTGATTAGACCTAAGTTCTGGATTTATGATATAAGGACTTGATCTAAATGTCAATGTGGCAGGACTTGCAAGCCCTAGAACCAAGACCGGATCTAGACTAACTTTGCCATCTCTAGTCGGGATTTTGTACTTGTTAGGATTTTGTACTTGTCAGAATTATGATATTTCAAGATTTTGTCTATCGGGATTACTATCTCAAGATTTTGTCTTTGAGATGTACTATTGAGATTTTGCACAGCTCCTATATTACTATAAACAGATGTTCTATAGAATAGGTAGGCAAACTCCGCAAACTCTGCAACTCCGATATTAAAAAATTAATGATTACTAATCATTAGCGAAGCTTATTTTTTATATTGCCCACCTATTCTATAAAATATCCCTATAAACAATTTAAATTTTTTAAATTTTATTTTTTCATATTAAAGTCAAATTTTATTTTTTTTATTAACTATTAAATTAATAAAAAAACTGTTAATTGTTAATTATATTTTGTTTTTTTTAGAATCTTTGGTTATTTTTTATATCAAAGAGTATTATTTGCAAACACTATATATTTATATTGTTGTTAAAAGTAAAAACAACAATTGCACTAAATAATTTTATTTCAAAATTTTTGTTTAATAAATATTCAATTGTTTGATAATTTTTCTTATTTTATTAAGTGTAAAATTGCAATATATCCCAAATCATTATCAAAAAATTTCAGAATTTTTAAAAACTCAAAGTTTCATATAAGTAGGTAGCATGAATTTGAAAAAATCGAAATTAATATAAATCGCCTATCCAAAAAATTTGTTTTTAAAAAGTAGATCAAAAATAATTTATAATAAAGAATTATATCTTTGTAGCCATGGTTTACCGTAACCGTAACTAAAATAACCCTTTTTTTTGTCCGTTAGGGTGAGGTGAAGACAGTATTCGGGTAAAAAAGTGTGTTTTATAGTAAAATTTAGTAAGGAATTGTTTTTGTTAGAACCCAAAGAGTAGTTTCATATGCTCAA